TGGGCTGTGAAATTGGAAATGATGAGGTAATTTGATGGTCCAGAAACACTTAACCAAACTGCTGATGCATGAAAAGTTGATGCTTCAAAGAAAGAACTGTATGGAGGCTGGGTGAGGCAGATGGCCATACAGCTGGAATGCTAGTCTGTATTTCCCTAATGTTCTTTATTTTCTGATATTCAGAGCACAAGCTAGTATTATGATGATAATGATCATTAAGTGTCCAAAGCTGGGTATATTTTGAGCATTATTGGCCCTGTCTTTCTTTAGGAATGAGTATAACCTGGATTCCTAACATCTAAGAATATGTACTGTATAGAGTCAGACAGACCTAGATTTGAATTTCATGTCTAGTTCAAGATCTAGGTACAGAGTAGGTACCCAGACTTTTCCTACCCCTAGTTAAGGATGAAGACCTGAAATTTTACAAAGAAAAGTTATTTTTAATATTTTTTTCAATGAGCCCCTAATCCAATACTAGGTACATTTATATGTCCAATAATTACTAGTTAGCTTCTTGATTAAGACTTGTAAAAGATGATGCTGTGAAAGTGCTGCACTCAACATGTCAACAAATTTGGAAAACTCAGCAGTGGCCACAGGACTGGAAAAGGTCAGTTTTCATTCCAGTCCCAAAGAAAGGCAATGCCAAAGAATGCTCAAACTACCACACAATTGCACTCATCTCAGACGCTAGTAAAGTAATGCTCAAAATTCTCCAAGCCAGGCTTCAGCAATACGTGAACTGTGAACTTCCAGATGTTCAAGCTGGTTTTAGAAAAGGCAGAGGAACCAGAGATCAAATTGCCAACATCCACTGGATCATCGAAAAAGCGAGAGAGTTCCAGAAAAACATCTATTTCTGCTTTATTGACTATGTCAAAGCCTTTGACTGTGTGGATCACAATAAACTGTGGAAAATTCTGAAAGAGATGGGAATAACAGACCACCTGATCTGCCTCTCGAGAAACCTGTATGCAGGTTAGGAAACAACAGTTAGAACTGGACATAGAACAACAGACTGGTTCCAAATAGGAAAAGGAGTACGTCAAGCCTATATATTGTCACCCAACTTATTTAACTTATATGCAGAGTACATCATGAGAAATGCTGGGCTGGAGGAAGCACAAGCTGGAATCAAGATTGCCGGGAGAAATATCGATAACCTCAGATATGCAGATGACACCACCCTTATGGCAGAAAGTGAAGAAGAACTAAAGAACCTCTGATGAAAGTGAAAGAGGAGGGTGAAAAAGTTGGCTTAAAGCTCAACATTCAGAAGACTAAGATCATGGCATCTGGTCCCATCACTTCATAGCAAATATATGGGGAAACAGTGGAAACAGTGTCAGACTTTATTTTTCTGGGCTCCAAAATCACTGCAGATGGTGACTGCAGCCATGAAATTAAAAGGCACTTATTCCTTGGAAGGAAAGTTATGACCAACCTAGACAGCATATTAAAAAGCAGAGACATAACTTTGTCAACAAAGTTCTGTCGAGTCAAGGCTATGGTTTTTCCAGTGGTCATGTATGGATGTGAGAGTTGGACTATAAAGAAAGCTGAGTGCCAAAGAATCGATGCTTTTGAACTGTGGTGTTGGAGAAGACTCTTGAGAGTCCCTTGGGACTGCAAGGAGATCCAACCAGTCCATCCTAAAAGAGATCAGTCCTGGGTGTTCATTGGAAGGACTGATGTTGAAGCTGAATTGAAACTCCAATACCTTGGCCACCTGATGCAAAGAGCTGACTCATTGGAAAAGACTCATGCTCGGAAAGATTGAGGGCAGGAGGAGAAGGGGACAACAGAGGATGAGGTGATTGGATGGCATCACTGACTCAGTGGACATGAGTTTGGGTGGACTCTGGGAGTTGGTGATAGACAGGGAGGCCTGGCGTGCTGCGGTTCATGGGGTCATAAAGAGTCGGACACGACTGAGAGACTGAACTGAACTGAACTGAAGCATCAAATTTTGAATTACAGAGGTTTCCACTAATACATTGATTTGAACTTGGCTCCTTTAAATCTTAATCCAATTACTTATTTTCTGCCACTTGACCAGGAATGTTTTATGGTTCAGGGATGATATTTTTCAGATGAGGAATGTGTTGAAATAATTTGATTCTGACGTGTGACACTATATCAATGAAAAGATATGCAAAGTTACAAAAACTTAATAATAAAATAATATTTACATACTTAGTATGTTAACTAACCTGGAAAGGGGGCAGTCTGTGAAATAAGGAGTCTCCCAGGATATCCAGTCCGTGTGCCGTGTTATAAAGTGTGGAGATGGTACTCCGTATCCTCCCAGGATGTTCAGAATCAAGCTAAAGACAGGCTGCTGCTCAAACCACACTTGTGGCCCCACAAAACAAGGGGGGCCCTCCTCTTCCCTGTGACATAGCATGGCCGTGGGAGATGAAACACTCATCACACCTAGGGTCCTGAAACAGTGACGTGTGACCAGAGGAAAAGAATGGAGACTCTAATCAGCCTAATGCCTTGCATGGGAAAACTTGGCACTGGCAATTCCAAAGCTCAGATAATCTCATCTCCAGCTGGAGCTGAACTCCTTGCTTTAAAGGAATTTGCTTTTTGGACTTTTCTGGTGGAGCAGTGGCTAAGTCTGTGCTTCCAGTGCAGGAGACCCAGGTTTGGTCCCTAGCCAGGGCTCAGATGATAAAGAATCTGCCAGCAATACAGGAGACCCGGGTTCAGTCCCTGGGTCAGGAAGATCCCCTGGAGAAGGGGAATGGCTACCCACTCCAGTATTCTTGCCTGGACAGAGGAGCCTGGCAGACTACAGTCCATGGGTTCACAAAGAGTCAAACACAACTGAGCGACTAACAGGGAACAAAGAACCTACATGCTACAACTAAAGATCCTGTGTGCCACAACTCAGACCCAGTGCAGCCAAATAAATAAATTTAAAAAAAAAAAAAGGAATTTGCTTTCAAAGTAACTGTCTCATCCTCCACTCTGAAAAATTGATTACTTTTTTTCCCCATAACCCATTAAATAGTACTCAGGTCCTCAGAAAGAGTCTGAGTCTGAAATGTGAAAATATTTCCACCAAATGTTTCAGGGGAAACATTTAAGAATAAGGTTGTGCCTGCTTACTGGGGTCTGATATTTTCCCCAGTTGAATCAATCCCACTGGCCTTACAGACATCCATACTAACCAGTGGCCCAAGAAAATCCACAGCCATTGAAAGAAAGAAAATGATTATTGTGAAATTTAACAGAAGCGTGGGAATGATAATGAAAACATATATTAAAAACTTGAAATTAGTAGAGAGAACACAAGCCTGTTTGGAGCGATAAAACTGTGTTCATCATTATTGATATTCAAAAGATTACCATATACAGGTTTATCTTTTGCTTTTAATGAAGCTCTCAAAAGCTGTGGCAGAAGTGTTCTGTGTGACTGCCCAAGGTCAGCCCTTCAGACAAGTGAGATAGCATTCATCCAAGTCAACTCCATTCATTTCTCTGGGCAGAATTGGATGGTATTATCAAAGCAAAAACTAAGATTGTCTCTAAAAGTGGAAAGCTTTGAAATAGAAAGTGTTTAGCAATAATAAGTGACTCTCTAAGAATATTATGCTTTCTGAGCATGCTTTAAAGGATCCCAATTTGCAAAAAGAGGATCAGCAAGACACCACTACCATCCAGTGCAAGCATGGATTTCCCTGTAGTGGGATAGATAAGAAACATTGCATTTTGTGTATCTGATTTGGGCTGATGTTTGAAAGAAATTTGAAAAGTGCTCATACTGTAAGCTTGAGATTGCACAAAGCCTAGGGCTAAAAGCCCAATTCTGTAGTTGGACATAACATAGTTAAGGGTGGAGAACAGAAGAGAAAACATTCCCAAGAGTGTCTACTCTGCAACTCCCGTGAAGAGCAGCACAAGTGGGCATCCACTACTTGTGTGGCTCCAGTATCTGAGAGACTGGCCACCCTCAGGAACCTGTATTAACTGTGGTGATAGCTTCTTCTCTGTGGCTTTTCCTCATAATTCACAGGGCTGTAAAATGAGCCCATTTGTTTTTGAAACTATTGATCTTTCTTGTTAATTACATAATTAATTATGTAATTACATGATTAATCCCATAGGCCTTCTGGCAGATGGATTATTAGGATACATGAGTCAAAGCAATAGAGACTGATTCTCATGAATTTGAAGAGGAGGTAGAAAAGGGAGCAGGAGAAGGAGGGGGGTTATGGAGTACTGAGGGGCTGAAAGCAAGGTTGTGAAGCCAAGCCCTGGGGAAAGGGCAGGAACAGAGACCATCTGAGCAACCAGCAGTAGGAACAGACCTTCTCTTCAAAAGACTGCCATCTCAGATGGGACGCATTGAGAGAGTAGCATTGACACATATATATTACCATATGTAAAATAGATATCTAGTGGGAAGTTGCTGTATCACGCAGGCAGATCAGCCCGGTGCTCTGTGACAACCTAGAGGGGTGGAATGGGGGAGAAGTTCAAGAGGGAGGAGATATATGTATACTTACAGCTGATTTATGTTGTTGTATGGCAGAAACCAACAACATTGTAAAGCAATACCATCCAATTAAAAATAAATTAAGAAAAAAAAAAAATCTTCCCATCTCAGCCGCCAGTTTTATGATGGCTTGGCTTCAACCAATTTCACATTACCAAGAAAAATCTTAATGTCCCAGCTCGACCAAGGGTTACTGATGGGGCTCAGATGGTAAAGAATCTGCCTGCAATGCAGGAGACCTGGGTTTGATCTTTGGGTCGGGAAGATCCCCTGGAGGAGGGAATGGCAATCCCCTCTAGTATTCTTGCCTGGAGAATCCCCTAGACAGAGGAGCCTGGCAGGCTTCAGTCCATGGGGGTCGCAAAGAGTTGGAGATGACTGAGCGACTAACACTTCCACTTTTCACCAGGATGGCAGGCACAGCTTTGAGCTGTCAGATCACCTCGGTTAGTACTCACACTGTCCCCTCCTCCTGGTTCTCTTGCAGTCATCAAGGAAGTTTTTTCCCATCACGTTTTTCGGCTCCATCTCCTGGATCGCAGTCTTCTCTTACTTGATGGTCTGGTGGGCACACCAGGTAAGACCTTGAGAAGGACAGACATCTGCCCGGCTTTTCTCTCGGTTGCCAGGTGGCTCATCAGTGTGTTTGCTTTCTGAAACTGGCACAACAGTTGCAGCTGACCTACATATTCCAAGACTGAAGGAATTTACTCCCCTTAACTCCCCTCATCTCCTGGCCCTTCTCTGTACTGTGGAATCAAGCTGGCATCCCCCCAGACAGCTGTGGGGGGGAAAGGCAGGTCTATCCACAACTTGCCGTCCGCAGCCTGAAGCCAGGCCAGCCCGGGCCTGGAGGAATGTCAGGGTTTTGCCTAGCTCAGCGGCACTTCCTTTCACTTGGACAGCCACTCACCTCATGTTCTCATCAAACTGGCCCTTAGGAAAAGACGTGGAGACAAAATGGTCTCTTCCTTGAGCCTGAATTTACAAAAAATGATGATGTATTTCACTTTTACTACTTCTAACTCAATACCAGTCATAATGCCCATCACCAGAATAAACTCTCAGGAATCGTTTGTTGTAACACATGAAAGGAAAAATGAGATGCAGAGGTCTTATGTTCGGTCTTATGTTCTCAGAGGTACTAACAGCTACGATTATTGACTGAATATGTACCACCTGAATATGGACAATTCACCTCCCTTTGTCCTTCTACATGGGTATAAATTCTGTGGGGGAGGTAACATATTATCCACAGTTTACAGATAAAGAGTTAAGCTTAGAGCTAATTAAAGTTGTTTAAAAATAATAAGATACCACTTCACAACCATTAGTACAACTACAACCAAAAAGACAGACAATACCATTTGTTGTTGAGGGTGTGGAGAAACAGGATTGCATACATTTGGCAAAACTCACAAAACTGTATGCTTTTTTTGAAAGGGTGAATTTTCCTGTATGGAAGTTACACCTTAATTTTTTTTAAGAAGAACATATGGCATCACTAACAAAATCCACTGAAAATATTGTCTGATAAACCAAGTGTTATTCCTACAATGTATTTCATATTATTCGTATCACAGTTATTTTACTGACATTGACTTCAGATTACTCTTCCTCAATATTTCCAAAAATCAATGTCTTCAGACATTCCGTTTGCCCCCAAGTCATTATTTTCTACATTCCCAGAGAGACGTTTGCTACCAATATCCAACAGAAATCACTGCAGAAGTTTCAGTCTGTGGGTCGGGAAGATCCCCTGGAGAAGGAAATGGTAACCTACTCCAGTATTCTCGCCTGAGAAATCCCATGGACAGAGGAGCCTGGCGGGCTGCGGTCCATGAGGTCACACGCAGAGTCAGACACGACTGAACACACCCATTAAAAACATGTAAAAGCTGTTTCTTAGCCTCCAGATTTCCAGGCTGTGAATGTTTGCCATTTATAACATATATAACAGCCTTCCAAAATAATTATTTTTATTCTTCCATGTACAGATAAAGAAAAAGAAGTGATTTTTTTTCACTTACTGGAATATATTGTTTCTAGATATTTTTCTTTAGTCTTCCTCCAAAATATCACCCTACAGGCTTCCATCTTTTTCTTTACTTTTTAATGATTATCTTAATTCCACAGTCTTACTTTCTTTTCATTCTCTTGTAGAAAAATACAAACACAATCCCTGGAACAATTATAATTATAAAAAAAAAAAGCCCAGAAATATAGAGTGCACAAAGAGAAGCCTTTTGTTTGCCAATGATAAATGAGACATTTCTCTTTCTTTTCACCAAAGAAATGCTTTTCTCTTTCAAAACATCCAGACAGCAGATCAAATAGCAGATTCTGTTGTAAGTCTATAGCACTAATTCTATCATTTGTACCTTTGACCTGTAAAAGCTATAAATGATAGGAAGTGCACCATTTCGTGCTCAACTCTTTGTTATGCACAGTTTTGCCAATAATAGCTGGTTCCCACTAGCTTAAAAGCATAGTTGGGAGCTGTTTTTATTTGACGGTCACAAATGTGTTTTTATTTGCCCCAGAGCCTAGGGAACTGAACTATTATACCTGCCCTCGTAGTTCACTACTTTCTATTAGAAAGTGACATCTACGTGAGCTATATGTCAATTACATCTCAATAAAACTGGAAGAAAAAGAAAGAAATTGAGGATCAAGACATTCCCCAGTTGGCCCAGTACACTAAGTCAAGTATTTAATACATGCCAGAGCCAGACCTGGGACCAAGGTCCTCTGATTTCCTAACTGTTGCTTTCTCCATGGCTGCCTTGTGTCTTACTAGTCCTGTGTTACCAAACCCAAAAACATCCAAAATCAAGTTTTCTGTGGAAATGGTACAGCCTAAAAATGTTTAAGAGTGGGTTACAGACAATAGGAGATGTTAAGGGAAAATGGAGACACTGGGTATCAATTCTTAATCTTCAATCATAAATTAAGGGGCACATTTGCTACACGATCTGGTGCCATTGTCAGGCACTGGCCCATGGGGCCAGTGACCATTGTAACTCTGATCTTCTGCTTCCCCTGCCTGGTCTTGATAAAAATCAAATAGAGGCTGCATTCTAGTCTTCTGTAGCTCTTTTTTCAGATTACCTATTTAATCCTTGTGCGAACATTCCTGATCTCTTGGGTCTGAGCATCATTAAAATATAAATCTTTCTGTCAACTACTGTGGCTTATTCATTGTTATTAGCTCAACACCCAGCACAGCACAGAGTAAGAATTCATTAAAAGGGAGTTGCATTGAAATGTTAGTGGTCTTGATGATTTTGCGACTTCAAACACTCCTCTGTTTGCCCCTGTCATGGCTTTTAGGTTGGAGAGACAATTGGCATTAGTGAAGAGATCATGGGTCTGACCATCTTGGCCGCTGGGACTTCAATCCCTGACCTGATCACCAGTGTCATAGTGGCCCGGAAGGGACTTGGGGACATGGCCGTGTCCAGCTCTGTTGGAAGCAACATTTTTGACATCACCGTAGGGTGAGTAGAACTCATTATATAAAGGGTCACATCAGCTCCACCACTGTCTTTGCCTTCTTAGAAGCTTGTGAAGTCATGACCAGTATCTCAGAGCCCAAAACCAACCAACACCAACAGAAAGAAAAGACTGGTAGTATCATTCAGTTTCACCAACTCCATTTTTTCATTTTTACAGAACTTCATGAAGAATAAGTTATCCTTGGACAGGGAGAAACACATACTTACATAGAGAATGGGTGTTGTAGGAAATACTTCGAGAATTTCACCTATAAAATGGCATTGGCTACATGTCATGAATATTCAGCATTCATATGTGACTGAGATACTCTGCTAGTTTCACAGTATTTTTTTTTTTCCGTGTTCTAATTCTAATTACAGTCCCCACCAGCCTCAGATGAGATTTGGAAAGCAGACTAAAACATAGGCCAGGAAAAAATTATCCCATCTCCTTCCTTGGAAAATGCTGGCAGGTTTGGTGTTATCATTTCTTTAACCGTGCTGGTGAAGATAGTCTAGGTTTTTTGAAAGTCAGATAGTAAGCTCTGTTCTTACAGTTAAACAAGCTGAATTTCTCAATATAAATCATCTCTAAAGTGGATCTGACTGGGGAGAGAAGCTGTTATTTCTATCATTTCATTTAACATGTTCAAAGTAAAAGTAGTCTCAAAAGTAACCCGAGAAGGCAGTCCCCTGAGAAAGTAAGACATGGGATACTATCCTTGTGTTCCTAGAAGAACTGACCTCTTAGCACTTGAGTTTGGAAGACCATTAAAATGAGTCTTTCTCATTGAACATCTTGTTCAACACTGTTCTCTTTTATCCTTTCCATTACCTAATGTATAGTTTTTTCATTCAGTATCTACCACTTACGCTGTACATATATTTTTATCTATCTAAGCCACACATGAGGTGTGTTATCATCCCCACTTTTCAGGTAAGGAAACTGAAGGGCACAGAGTTCACAGGAGTAATGAGACAGCTGGGATTTGAACAGAGTCTATGCTCTCAAGTCCAACACTATCTGAACATAAAACCCTGCTCTGAGCTTCACTGTCTGTACCACCTTAGAGTGCAAAGAGGCTCTGTCCCACACTTTCTTCCTTCGCTGGCATCTCTCCCTCGAGAGCCCTCACTGCTTGTCTGTCTGGAAAACTCCAGTTTACCCTTCGAGTGTCAACTCGAATCCTGGTTTTCTGCTTCCTTTAAGCCTGGCCTGGAGGCTTGTGCTCCTGTATATGCTCTGTGTATCCATATCTCACAGTCTTGTCAAGGTCATGTGTATCAGTCTGTCTGCTAGACTATGAACTCCCCAAGAACAAGAACTCCCCAAAACCTAATACAATGTCTAATGATGGCAGTGGCTTGGCACATGTTTGTAGAATGAATGGATGGATGAGTGAGTGAATGAATGCCTGAAAAGGTGTATTTTTAAAAAGAGGGACATCCCTGATATAAATAGTGTTTCTCAGTTCTACTGCCCACACATGTAAAACAGTTTTCTTGGTCAATACCTTGTACAAATAGAAAGAAAATATTCTGTAGTATAAAAAGAGAAAATCTTACATAGTGGGGAAAATTATGTGTTGAGATATATTTATCATGTTTTCGAAAAGTATTCTAGTGAGTTACAAAATGCTTTTTGTTCATTGTTCTTAAATTATACATATGTTGTAACTTAAATGGAGGTTTAAAGAAAATCATCCCTAATCCTACTACCCACAAACATTTAACTTTTGTGCATTTTTCTCCTAATATTTCACAAAGTTTTCTTAGTGAATAATCAGTTTTGCTCTGTTGGAGGGCTTTTATTTTTCCACTTTAAAGCCATTTATGCCTAGCAAAGAATAGGCCTCTATGAGCAAATTAGTAAGTCAGCCATTTTTCTAAGTTTCTTCTTAGCTCTCATAATTAATATTCTACAGCTTCAAAATATTCCATCTTGTTGCTTTCAGTTTTACCATTACCCTTTAGGAGGACCTTTGTATTTTTTCTGAAAGCATGAGTGTTTTATGAAACTTTTATGAGGAGAAACATCTTTTTTTTTTTCTTTTTTTTGGGGGGGTATCTTTTTTTTCCCATTTATTTTTATTAGTTGGAGGCTAATTACTTTACAACATTGCAATGGTTTTTGTCATACATTGAAATGAATTAGCCATGGGAAACATCTCTTTTAATTATTTTATTAGGGTAAATTTTTAAAGAAATATTGATGGATCAAAGATTAGAAATATTTCAATGGCTATTGATGTAGTATATTTTTCCAAAAGGTCTCTTCCAAGAGTTTATACCAATTTACAAAGTTATTAGCAATATATTGAGTGTAACAGTTTCTTCATAGTCTTAGTAGCATTTTCTTCTTAATATATACTCAAGGTAAAGGATTTAGAAATACACATAAAGCATAATACAAGCCAACATATAAGCATATATAAAACATAAGTACAAACCAACACCCTTCTAATTCATTATTGAAGTTAAATTGCCATTTTTATGTGTACCCTTTTTATAGAATCATATCATGGGCATTTGCCTGTATCATTTTAAGTTTATGATTTTAATAGCTATATAACATTACATTGACTTAACAGTTTGCTATTTAACTAACTGCCTATTATATGAGATTAAGGTGTCCCTGATGTTTCACTACTCAGAGTAACACTGGAATGATCACCTTTCTGAAAAAAATTGCCTCTGCATTTTCAATTATTCCTTCTGCTTGATCCCTGACAACCGAACTGATAGGTCAAAAGTATTAAAAATGTTGTCTTTGCCCCAAAGGGTTTTTACCTATTTGTGGTTCTGTCAACCGCAACTTCACCAGAATTGGATGTGTGCGTGCATGTGTCATTGTTAGTCTCTGTCCCCATTTAAAAAATAATTTGGCCATTTTCACTGCTAATTTCTATATGCTTTTCAACATTTTATCATCTCCTCCTGTCACCCTGTACACATCCTCCAATTCATCTCTTTAGGCCTAAGAATAACACTTTACTCTTTGAAACGAAACAAAACAATTATTTCAACTCAAATTCAGAAATCACCGGCAGCAGCCATGCCTTTGATCTTATTCAACCAGAGAACAAATTCTCTCTGCTCTCCTTCATTCAGTAAGGAAATAAAGGTTTTTAAAGGTCACTTGATTTCCTTATATGATTGCCTGGGCCAACCAGACGCCAGTCATGGTGAACCTGACCGGACACTGGTTTCCAGTCAGACCCCAAGAAGCTCATGTTCCATCCTGTGCCTTCCTCAACGAGTCTGACTACGCCCCGCGTCTACCCTGCTTCTCCCCCACAGGCTCCCACTGCCTTGGCTCCTCTTCACGGTCATTCACAGGTTCCAGCCCGTGGCCGTCAGCAGCAATGGGCTCTTCTGCGCCATCGTCCTCCTCTTCATCATGCTGCTGTTCGTCATCCTCTCCATCGCCCTCTGCAAATGGCGGATGAACAAAGTGCTGGGCTTCATCATGTTCGGTCTCTACTTTGTGTTCCTGGTGGTCAGCGTCCTCCTGGAAGACAGAATCCTCGTGTGCCCTGTCTCCATCTAGCGGGAAAAGCCATATCTTGAGCCAACAGCATGGACGGTCCCTCCCCGCTCTGGGTTGTAGGCTCCATGACCTCCGGAGAAGAGGCAGCAGGCCCACAGTCTGGGGCTTTCTGAGCGAATCTCCTTGGCAGATTTGACGAGGGATGGATTCACGCAGGGCCAGCTCGTTTCATGGGGCTGCTCCCACCCTTGCCTCCTGCAGCAGCTCCATGCAAGTGACAAACAGGTCCCCGCGTATGGGGCTTCTCAGCCTGCATCGCTGACAGGTACTCCTTGCTGGTCAGAGGTATATTCGTCATAATGATACAATGACAAAGGTGATATATATACATATAAAATATACATATTATATATAGATGCACCTGAACACACCCCCGCCTGTTCCTGTAATGATACCTCTCCTTCCACACCTAGAGAGTAGTCTATACCTGTATACAGACACAAGAAAACTTATACATATATATATATATATATATATGAAGTCATATATATATATATATATATATATAAATACAACTGCATCTTTTCAGGGACAGCTCTAGTATATTTCTAGTACCTATCTGAAGAGGGGCATCAACCTTCAGTCTGAGCTTTACCTCTTAAGTGCAAGAGGTGAGCTAAGAGAATCATTGCTGTGAACTTCAACCTACCTTGGACATATTGGGATTCTGCCTGGTATGATGGCTGTTTAAGGAAAATATGTTGCAGGAGGTAGGGCTGGGTGGAAAGGGTCCATAGGGAACCTGATATGAGCCCTCCAAAACATTCCCACAAGCCAAACTGGGAAGACCATCTGCCCAGTCTAACTGGGGTACACTATCTGAAACCCACAGGGCTATTGGGACATCTGGAGGTAAAACCCAGGTTGGGCAGATACTGGTTTGGGACAAGGGGGAGGTGACCAGGGTTGGGTTTGGGAAAGGTTGTTTGTTTGTTTTTTTATATAGTGCCCCAGCATGCAAGTAGAAAATATGATTGCAAACCAAATTAGTGCTCTTCTAGGACAGCAAAACTATATAAACTGAACCTATATTGTTCCAATGCATGTCCCATTATCATCCAAAGAAGGGGGCAAATTTAGCTGTAATTGTCATTCAGACGTATCTTGATGCTAAGGTGCTTGATGTATAATCAAAATGCTTGCCAAGAGAGCCTGGATATGTACTAAGAAATACCATCCAGTAGAGGTGCTCAGTGGAACTTGCTCCCTAATGGTGTGGTTCTTTAAAGCATCTTCCAGTGTGGTCATCAAGGGCTTCAATGGCTGAAGAAAGACATCAGTCTTCCTCCAACCAGTAGAACTAGATTGACGCTGATCAATACTGCGTGGATTGAGGCAGCTTAGAGATGTTTGGAAAGGTGTTTGTTCACCAGGAAATTTTCTGGGTCCTCTGTCTAGTAGTTCCAGGACCAGGATCTGGTCTCTCCTGCCGTGAGGGTCCCATCAGGGAGTCTCTCCAGCTCAGAGTGCACTGAAAATTATGCTCAACAGCTTCTTTACACTGGCTTCAAGCCAGTCATTCCGAGGTTCTGATTTCCAGAGCATTCATGGGACATTTTCATTTCATTCATTCAGTGCTCACAAGTTCTGTTTGACACTTTATATGATTTCTCAGGTCTGTGGCAATAAAACCAACAGAGAAAGGTGAGGCAGACTATATTAGTGAAAAATACACAGCTTTTCATTTCCCCAAACCTTGCGTCCTTATAATCATTTGAAAGTAAACAGAAGACACCCCTTATTGTGTGACCCTCCCACATCTAAGTGGGCACATACCACGTCTGAGGACTACTCCATGTGACTTCCTCTCCCCCGTCTGTTGTGTCACTGCTGCCGCTAAGATTTTGCTGTGAGCGCATCCCTCCTAACACAGGGAGACCGGATGCAGTGCTCCCAAGTGAGTAAAGATCAAGATCAAACTCAGCATTCCCTCCACAAAACCTCAGCTCACTCCACACAGCACAGCAGTCATGGCAGTGCCCACTGTTGCTCTTCCAAGTGGAGGCCTGATGGGAAAGCAAGAAGCCAAGATGGCGGCAGCCAAGACAGTGGCCCAAGAGGCCAGCTTCCCTGTCTCTCCAGCTTTGCGAAGTTGAGTGCTCAGTTGAGAGAGATCCAGGTCTCCTGCTTCAAAGGCAGGATTTTGTGCTGAGACAGGAATTCGTGCTGATTCCTTTGTAAGAGAAGGAACCAGTGAACATTGAGTTGATGGCTTTCCCTGTGCATTACTTGAAGGGGAGCAGAGTTGTTTGTTATGTGAATGTATATTATTGACTGATTTGTTGTGTGAAAGAAGGGTTGAATAGGTGACTTTGACTCAGCGGCAGATAGACTATGTAAATCCAGAAAGGATGAGGGGTGTTCAGTACAACCCTGTTCTTCTGGCTCTTCCCTGCCTCCTGTCTCTCTTTCCTGTTCATTCTCAGCTCACGGTGAAGACTCATACAAGCAGCCTGACAGCTTGACTCACCTGGGAGCTCCCTTCTGAGGGAGTGTTGTCAATCATGAAAACTGATTGCATTTGAGAAGATGCTACTTCCAAGACCAATTCCCACCTCAAGGGTGTAGAGTGTCCGCTCGCTCAAGGGTGTATGCAGGTTTCTCTCCTCCATAACATGTCTGTGTGGTTATGTGCTGGGCTTGGCTAAACCCAGAGAGAAGACTATAGGTGCAACAGTGGATCTTTAAAGACATTTGAATCGTTACCATAATTATAAGAAAGAATTTTCCACAACATGGTTTTCTGAGTAGCTCATCCCTAGTGCCTGTGTAAATACATATATATCTTCATACCAAATCTATATATACACTATATATCACTTACATCATCACCCTCTGACCCAATTATATTCAGAATACAAAAGCAGGGAGCATCAAAGTTTGCCTTTGTGAAGGGAAAGGGAAAATATGCACACCAGTGACCAAAGGGAACATTTTCCTCCTGCTCACATGAGGTTTGTGTCCACAATGCCATCCAAACATCCACATAGGCACCTTTCTTGTATATTTTCTTGGCCCAAGAATATAGATTTACAGCCTTATAGAAGTCGCCAATCATATCCCTGATGTGGATGTAGAGGAAAAGAATACACCATGGAAACATACGGGGGAAAAAACTGAGGCTACCAGTACCCTCTTTGCTTTTCTGGAGCAGGGTATAAAATATCAAAAATTCAAGAGCCCACCTCTTACTGTTTGATCTAAAATAAACAAGCTGTCCCCAAGTGGTTCCCTTTACCTGCAGTGAACCAAGCAAGTCTTGCTTGCTGTCACCTCCCCTGACACCCTAGGGAGGCTCAGGACAAGAGAACAACTTGGCTTGTGCTGAGAATACTCAAATAGAACCTTCTCAGTTGCATCTTGGAATGCCCATGCTGAGTCCAGCTGCCTTCTGAACCTGACTAGACCCTAAAGAACTGAGGCTGGAGATGAGATGATCCGCAGGCAGCTTCCCAAACCTAAGCTGAGCCAGGCAGGGCAGATCAAGAAAACACAGCCATGCAGTTATTAAGGCAGAGGGTTGTTATCAGTTTGGCCGATGCAGCAGAATTTCCTAAAGCCTTGCCCAGAAGATTATAGAAAGAGGCAGGGAACTGTTTCATATTCGGCGAAAATGCTTTGTAAGGCTTCTAACAGGTGTCAGCTGACAGAGGCCATTATAATTTATTTTCTAGGGAAGACATGAATCAGGTGTTTGGAGGCCTTTGGGCTAAACACAGCTGCCTTGCCAATGAGACATTTGATAATATTAATGTATATTAATGTACATCCCTGCTGGGTAGGGAGATCTGGCCTGCTCCCCACCATTGCTCACAGCTCTTAGACTCCTCTGTGACTAGAATGAGCTGTCAAGGGGAGCCCTGCCACCCCCAGACCACCTTAACAGAAAGCTGGCCAGGGATATGACAACGGTTAAACCTGCTGGCCAGAAAGACAGCTGGAAAAGATGGAACTAATGTTAACCACTCTGCTGAAATCACTGGTTGTCATATCTGACATGGGTCTAATGCCCATCTGAATCCAAGCATTTCAGAAAACTTCAATCTGCTTTCTTCCCTACATCTACCAACATACACACACACACACACACACACACACACACACACACACAATTAAAAGCATGCCATGCTCCCTACACCTGGACAGATTGTTACTACAATAATTAAGTGGCTAAAAGTAGCAGCTCTGTTCTAGAAGCAATAAAGGGAACCTGTTCTCATGGTGATTTCTGGAAAAATCAACTGTCTCCTGAAAACTTGTTTCAGAAGCTAATGCCCAGACTTGCTAAGCCAGATCTTATATAACCACCTGACTTAATATTTTTAAAAGACACATCCTCAACTCCTGTGCCTCCCTCAGCAAGACTGTCTTCAATTAGTAGGTAAGGACTGGTCATGAAGAGAAAGTTAGTGAAAAATAATAAGGAAAAGGAAGAAATGGGGAATTAATTTACTTTTATTAGGATCCCCAAGAAAGCCGCTGTCCTGTTGACATATATATATAGTGTTAAATAATTACAAATTTCGGGCTTTTTTCCCCAATGAAAGAAGTTTACATAGAGTCCCAGAAAAAAAAAAAGTTTCTCTCTCAAGAAGGCCTTGGGAAGAAAGGTAAGGGCCTCCACTCTACTGTTCCTTGCCTTTGTAGCTTTGTGTTTAGTTTTTTAATGCCACAGCTTCCTATTCTTTGAAATACCTAGCTGATAAGAAAAGCAAGCAAGGCATACTCAAAGCCAGCTGAACTCTTTACTTATCAGGAGACCATCATGCTTTTTTTTTCCCCCCACTTCACGGGGAGCTTTAAAATGGCACTGACTTTGGCCAGATATCGCCGTGAGTGTTTAGATGACTGTAGAAAACACAGGTGCACTCCTGCTTGTTAAGGAAGTAGTCCACGCTTTCCACCCTGATGCCCGTAAACAGTGTGCTCACTGCCACTCTCCCTGTTTCTCCCGCCCAGGGCATCGGCCTTGCCCAGCACCCCCTGGTTTCCATCATGGT